GTGTCTCCATAGTCAGTGAGCCCAGACAGTGTGACTGTTACTATAACACTCCTTACACGGCAGTGTCTCCATAGTCAGTGAGCCCAGACAGTGTGTGACTGTTACTATAACACTCCTTACAGGGCAGTGTCTCCATAGTCAGCCCTCCGGGCACTCCATCTCCTGCCTGGAGTACAGAACAGGAGCGCTTCTGCTCTTGTCCTGTTTTGTGGTCCTGGCCCTCGCTAGGGAAGCCTCTGCCTCTGTGTCCAGAGCAGCAGTGTTTCCAGTCCTCCTCTAGCTGATGGCATTTTGCAAACTCAGCTTCTTGGGGACCCAGACTCTCCCCCTGGCTCTGGAGACAGAACTGGGTTTCTAGCCATGGGTGTGTGTCCTCAGGGATTGTTTGTCTTTGGTTTGTTCCACACATTGTTTAAGTTGGACTCCAGGGCCTTGTGCACACAAGGATGGCTGGTCTCAAGCTCACAGAGATCCACCTGCCTCTGCCTTCCGAGTGCTGGGATTGAAGACATGTGCCACCGTGCCCGGCTGGCTTTGGGGATTTTTAGGCACAGGTGCACTGTTGGAGAACTTGGCATCTGGTTAGATCCTGTCTGTTTCCCCCCGCCCCAGTCCCTCCCCTGAGCTGGCCTCCCATCCCTGCCCAGATGGAGAAGGCTGGTGATATAATTGTTGGGGAGGACAGTTAACCAGCAGCCTCATGGGGTGCAAGTAAACTTGGTGCCCCCAAAGCTGGGAGAGTAGACTCGGGCTAGGCCGAGCCGGAGTGCGTGGGAAGGACTCTGGGACAGCTCGGCCCCACCCCGTCTTCCCCATAGTGGCTTGGGCTGACTGCTCTCTGGCGCCAGACAGATGTTGGTCTGTGGATTCAGGGCTGGGTTTGCTGACTGCCTGTCCCCCATCTGTTTACAGGACAGCGGCCACCCCGAGACCCTCATCAACCTCATTGTACTGTCCCAGCACCTAGGCAAGCCTCCTGAGGTAGGCTGTAGCACGACAGGCCTCAGCCCCTTCAGGGTGGCGGTGGGGACAGCAGCAGGACAGGAGAGACCAGGGAGGCACCGTCCAGCGGCCTCATCTGAGGGGAAAGAGGAGGTTGCACCAGCTTTCTGCATAGAGCCATCTGCATCTGTTTGCTGTCCCAGCTGAGGATAGACAGCTGTCCTGTCTCAGGGCTGAGTGGTCAGGGCTGGACTAGAGCCATCTTGGGTCTATAGCCTAGAGTGTTGGTTCTCACCCTATGGGTCGTGACCCCTTAGTGGCTAAACAACCCTTTCTTTTCTTTAAAAAAAGAAAAAAAAATTATTATTCATGTATGCATGCTCTGTCTGCACGTACAACTTAATGCCTGAAGAGGGCATCAGAACCCACTAGAGATGGTTGGGAGCCACCATGTGATGGCTGGGAATTGAACTCAGGACCTCTGGAAGAGCAGGCAGTGCTCTAACCGCTGAGCCGTCTCTCCAGCCCCCTGAACAACCCTTTCACAGGTCACATAGCAGATATTTTCATTATGATTCATAACAGTAACAAAATTACAGTTACGAAGTAGCAATGGATTGGGGTCGCCATAGCAGGAGCACATTAAGGGGTGGCAGCATTAGGGGGGTTGAGAACCACTGCTCTAGAATGTAGGACACGTTAGCTCAGTGCCTCGTGAGCCCGTCTCCTCGGTGGGACCCACCCCATCGTGGTCACTCCCTCCCTGGGCTCTGCTCCACACCTGAGGCTAGCCCAGTCTAGGTTGGGGGGTGGGAGTCAGAGCCTCCCTTGCCCCTACCCCGCTCTACAGGGCAGAGTGGCTTTTGGCTCTGCGTATCTGGCTAACTCCTCCCACTCGACACTGCTCAGGTGACAAACCGATACCTGTCGCAGCTGAAGGATGCGCACAGGACCCACCCCTTCATCAAGGAGTACCAGGCCAAGGTGAGCAGAGCGGCTCTCCTAGGGGTGGGGAACGTCCTGACGGGAGAAGGCTGTGCGGTCTCATGCGTGGCATCTGATCTCCCACCGCAGGAGAACGACTTCGATCGCCTTGCACGGCAGTATGCGCCCAGCGCCTGAGGTGGAGATGCCCCTGTGACCCCAGCTGTTCTGGATGTCACCCCTGTGACCCCAGCTGTTCTGGATGTCACCCCTGGTGACCCCAGCTGTTCTGGATGTCACCCC